TAATATTGACATATAATAGTGCTACATGTAACAAATACCTTTAAAAGTAATGAGGACATACATAATATGTACATGTACATTTACTGATGTACATGTACTTACATACATATGTACATGTACGTATAAAAGTACATGTACATGTACATACATGCATAAATTCATACCAGCATCAAGCTTAATAAACACGCTCGGTTTATCAATAATAAGGTCACACCCTCCAGTTTCAAAAGGGTCAGAATCAAAGCCATTATACTCCTCCAGTTCGGCATACCAGGACTGTAATGGAGACTTATGCCCACCCTGTTCTCTTAGCAATGGCTTGTCCAGTTAACAGTGTCCCCCAACCTCTCCCGGCTCAAAGATATTCTCTCTAAAGCTATAAAGAGATATTTTGTCTAGAGTAATGGAGTGTTTTGCATTCAGAGCGTACCTCCTGTAAGTGTCGCCCTGTCTTGTGGCGAACTCATCAAATCTTCTCAAGTCCAAATAAAAGTTTTTGGCTTTGCAGTATCTAGCATTGGAAGAGCAAATGAGACTAGAGCCATTCTGAGGGAAGGAGAGAGAGGGGGGAGAGAGAGAGGGGGAGGGAGAGAGAGAGGGGGAGAGAGAGAGGGGGAGAAAGAGAGGGGGAGGGAGAGAGAGAGGGAGGGAGCAAGAGAGGGAGGGAGAGAGGGAGAGAGAGAGGGGGGAGGGAGAGAGAGGGAGGGAGAGAGAGGGGGGAATGTGAGAGAGAGGGGGGAGAGATAAAAGGGAAAGGAAAGTTTATTTATTATTCATTTCTGAGGTTTCCTGAAATAATTACAAATAAACAACGTCAATGATTATATAATTTTAATAATGAATTACTTGTTCTTTCATTTCACACAATGTCATCAATGACTTTGCTACATCATTAACATAACCAAAGTCCCCTTGTCTCCAGAACAATTCCTCTTTATCCTTCATGCTGTTAGCTTCTCAAATCTTCTCAAGTCCAAATAAAAGTTTTAGGCTTTGCAGTATCTAGCATTGGAAGAGCAAATGAGACTAGAACCATTCTAAGGGAGGGAGAGAGGGGAGAGAGAGGGGGGAGGGGGAGGAGAGGGTCTCTCTAGATCTCTACTACTACACTAACTATACTAAGGATTCATCCTTACAATGTGCATGTACATGTACATGCAATTTAAATATTATAAATAAAAACTTGCTCTCATTTCAGGCAAGAATGGAAAATGGGGAAAAGACAATAATTTCTTCGAGAGAGAGACAATATGTCATAGATCAAATGGAGCTACAGATCAAATGGTTTGTGTCTGGATTAGTTACAGTGAAAGATAGGCTAACCATGACAACCACCACCTGTTTTAAATTCCTTTATTTACCTTTTCTCTTCTTTTCCTCTTTCTCTTTCTTTGCCATTATTCCTCCTCCTCCTCTTTGTCTCAGTCCTTCCTTGTTCCCCTCGTCAGAAAGTGGACCATTTTTAGTCTCTATGACTTGGCTCCGCCCGGCCCCTTCCCTATAACGTCTCTCCTCAACCTCACTATTAAAATGGACGTGTTTGTGTCCGCCTCCTTTAATTGTCCTCACAAACTTCTCCACAATTAGGAAAGCAATGATACCAGCCAGTACCCACAACCCAACCATCATGTCCTGGGTATGGTCGTGCCCCCCGAGGTAATGGTCGCCATGATGATGATGGTC